CGCGCCCAGGTGCCCCAGCCAGTGCGTGACAATGGACAGAGACTGCGAAGAGAAGGACGTGGCTTGATGCCAGTGCTGACAGCCCCACACGATCTGTGGCGGGGATGAGGCCTGTGAGCGGTGCCTTTAGTTGGACACCCACGTTGCACCCACCCCGGGGACCCCCAGCCACAGGGATGCCTGCTCCCCACAGGCACCACCACAGGCCTGGCCCTGGCAAAGCCAGAGGAAGAACGTCTGCTTTTGCCTTGCTACCATCACCCCGGCTTGGCCCTTGCCCATGGCTCTGTCGGGGCAGGAGCTCTGGTGCTTCACCCGTGATTGCTTTCTTTCACTGACAGGATGTCACTGGCAACCTCCAGCCTGCCCAAGACAGGGGCCTCAGCCACACTGGTGTGTCCTGCCCACCCACACTGCTGCCATCCACGGGATCCAGCCGCCCCCACCCTGCTCCAGCCTTGCCATGTGTGCGCTGGGCATTCGGCATCATCCCCAGGGCCGGGCAGCGGCGCCCTGGCAGAGGGGCATGTGGTGGGGCAGAGGGGTATTTCACAGGGTATTTCACATGCTGGCACCAGCTGTTTCTCCTCTCTGCCCCCAACCACGTCCTCCTCCCAGAGCCCCTCACCCTGCGTCCTGCCTGCCCTCCGCCGCCTGCTTCCCCCACCACAGAGCATCGCTGTGGCAGTGCTGCCTTTCTGCTATGTGCCCCTCCTTTTCGCCCTTGCCCTGGCACTCCTTGCTCAGCATCTGGCCCCGTACAGGAGCCACCTGCACTGGTTTCTTATTGTTCGGTCACTGGTGGTACTGGGAGAGGGCTTGCTGCACACCAGGATGGCTTTTGAAGCTGTGAGTGGGGTGCCCTTGAGAAGACAGCCCAGCTGGGTGCTGGCACAGTCTGGCAGTGGTGCCTGGGGCAGTAGGACCAACAGCGTCACCCGCGCTGGCAGTGTCACCTGGGACTGGCAGCGTCATTGGGGCTGGCAGTGGGCACCCCCTCGGCCAGCAGTGCCCCTCCTTTCTGCAGAGGGTCCTGCTGCCTTGTCACCCACGGGGGCCATCCATGCCTGGCACCCGCAGCCACCCCCAGAGGCACAGTGACGGCAGGGCCCATGACACTGCCCTGACCACCCACCCCCGGGTGACCCAGGCTGTTTTTGCAGCCCGGTCCTCCCTCTGTCCCAGGGAGCACCCAGGGCTGTGCTGCCTGTGTGTGTCCCCACTGCCCTTTCTGCCTACCTGGCACAGGATCAGCTGAAGGTCCTGGGCTGGCTCCTGCCCACCGGCAAGCAGGCAGCACCAGGCACCCCAGGTCGCTGCCATGGGGCAGCACACTGCATGGGGAGGTGGATTTGGGCCAGCCCTGGCCCCACTCGGGCACAGGAGCAGGGGCAGACCCAGGTAGCAGTTGACCCTCTGCTGTCCCCATGCCCCCTGGTCTTGCCAGTCCTGTAATGCCACCTGCTATAGATTGTGATACAATATACAGTATTTTCAATAGGGGAAAAATTGGGGGGAGATAAGCTCTATTTTCAGATTTTTCAGACCATATTTTTTT